TTTACCGTACTGTTACCTAGGGTTGAGTCCCTAGTTTGAATGATTGTAAATATTGTGCATACCGTTCTGTACTGTTTACGTATAAATGTATGAAAAATCTTTTCATATAGACTGTCGCAGCTCATTGGGCATTGTTTATTTACTGTTTTGGCTTCCGCCAGGCCCTGTACTCTGTTTTACTGTATTACTGTCCTGCAGGCCTTCGGTAATCTCGGATTACTGGCCGGTTACGGTGCTAAACCCATAGGGCCGGGTTTGGGTCGTGACAGCAGGTAAGCAAAAGGGAGAAAGACGTGGGGTTGAAAGGCATTTACACACTCACGCACACTTATTACAAAAGTCAACCTCTCGATGGAGGGTCTGAATAAATAATACAAATAAACTAATTAATTAACTACCTTAGCTAATTAATTATTACATAACTCTTAACTAATTTAAACAAATTAACTAAGCTATGAAACTAAAGAGGCCACCGCAGCTCTGCCTCGGTCCTCTTCAACAATGGTGCTCCAATGGCCTTCTTGAGCTTGAATCTAACACCAAAATCTCAAAACACACTCTTTGGAACCTCAGCTCCTAGAGGAAGGTGAAACACTAGGTGTTTGTGTGCAATAGTATGGACTAAAACACCTAGAACACTCAAGAGAGGGAAATAGAGATAGGATATGTATCAAACCCTAATCCTAAAACCAGAGCTCTCCTCTGTCTTTTCTTTCTCTAAAATGTCTAAAGCCTTCTCTTTTGCCTTAGAGAGAGCTCTCTCTATATGTCTCTTGTAAAGCTTACAAGACAAGCTTTGCAAGAGGGAGATCCCTCCATACACGTGTATGAAGGGGAGCAAAAGTTATACAGCTGTCCAAAAATATCTGCAAAAGCAGATGAACAGCAATCGGCCGGCAAAAAATGCCATCTTGGCCAAACAAAGTGCCGACCGGCACAAAAAAGTGCTGACCGGCAACAAATAGTGCCGACCGGCAAATTACATTGCCGGTGGCAGCAAAAACCAGCCGGTGGCATCTAGCCACTGCCGGTGATGGGTGGGGATGGTCTACAAGCCCCACCCTGCCTCTCAAAGGCAAGATGTAAGTGTTTGGTGCAAAACCAGACACTAAACGGTCGAGTTCGGGGATCCTGAGGCGGGGCGCGCGAGCCGAGACCTCCGGGAACTCCAAACGAACACAAACATGGATAATCACCGAGTGTTCAAACGGTGACGTCCAAGTCTTGAGGACGGTCAAAAATGGGGTGTCTACAGAGGGCTGTGAGAGCAAGACTAAAAAAACAAAAAAAATTTTGAGCCAATGAAAAAACAGTGGGGGTGGTAGGGGTCTAAGGCATTTTTCATATATAAATAGATAAGTGATGACATGTGATCAAAGTTTTGAAAAGTGATTGCAGTGGCGCGATTGCGGTTGCGGTTGCGGTTGCGATTGCGATTGCGATTGCGAGGTGTAAAGGCCATAGCGTAACAATTGAGATAACTGGAACCATGATTTTTTTTTTTCGCACAATTTGAAAAAAAAAACTTACCGATTTGCATATTTATTTTTTTTTAGAATCTCATTTATTGAGGTTTAAAATAGATTTTAATCAATTTTTGTTAATTTTTAGATGTGATCCAATATTCATATTTTCAAATCACTATAAAAATAATTTTTTATATTTTATTTCAATAGTTAATGACTTTAAGAATAATTGATTTTAAATTTTACAAATTATTTTTGATCAATACTTGAACCAACTGAATAAAAAACATTAACAATTATTAAATGATTATAAAAATAAAAATTGTGCCTTAAACAAAAATTATTTTTGAAGCATTTTTTTAAACAACACTTTACAGCTAACTAAATAAAATTATTTACAATTAAGTATTAAAAATTATTTTTGAACTATTGATTTTATTTATTTTTTAAAGACATTTTTTAGACAACACATTAACAAAATAAAAAATATTAAATAAAATGATTATAAAAATAAATGCAACCACTGTTTATATATTTTTTATTTTACATGCTAATGTAATAAAATAAAAATTATAAATAAAAAAAATTCATATAAGATTTTTTTCTTTGAGTTTAGATCTTTTTTTTTTGATAACCGGGTGTCCGGACAAGTTTACGCGTACCTCGCCTAAATCCCAGGACCTTGAAATTAACGACCGGGTGAACCTCTAGTGGCCCCAAGGTTTGAGATGTTTGGCCTTGTGGGTTTTGAACCTACAACCTTAAGAAAACTATTTAGCATATTATAAAAGAGTGTAACAGTATGTAATGGACCATTACAGCCGTTACGGTACCGCTAAGGCCGTTATGTAACACCGAAACGCTTTACACGTGAATTTCTGTCCCACTGCTATAGCGACCGTAACGAGTGACGGTAATCACCACAACCGTTACGTAACGATTGCGGCCTCTTTTTTAAACATTGCATGTGACATTTGCAACACTCTCTCGTTCTTCCCCCTCTGAAATTGTTTCTGCAATTGAACAACATAAAAGGTGACCGTAACTCTCTGATGGCCAGAATTGGTAATGGTGCTGGTGGTGGCGGCAGCCGGGGATCAGGAGAAAGAAAGAGAAAAGGGAGGAAAGGGAAGCTAGCCTGAGTATAAGATTAAAATGCAATAGTAAACACACATTTTTATACTTTAGATTTCTACTATAATCTTTATGGTTCAGAGAATAAACAATGATGTGTAAATATATCCCATAAAATTATTTTTTCCAATTGTCGGATACAGGTTACATAATTTGGCTACATCTTCCCTGCTCTGAAGCACCTCTTCCCATCTATTTTCATATTCCAAATACAAAACTATACAATACATAGAAAGAATACAAAATAGAATCAACTGACAAGAACAAAATTGTTACACCTAATTTAGCACCAAGAAGAATCAGCAATGTTGAATCAGAATCCCTGCTATTTAGCATTTTTCTATCTTCCCCGGACATCAGCAGAGCACACGAAATAGGAGTTTTCAACTTCTGAAATCCCACTGCACCGAGTACTGATTGATTTCCCTAGGTGTAAGGATAAATGATGATCAAACAGGGTTTGTCCTGCAAACTAGGCAACCCTTCCAGCTGTGTGTCTTACTCGACCACCAAGGATCCTCTAGAGTGAAATTTCTCTAAAGTTTCCTAGAGTGCTATATTGTATGGTTGAGATTTACTGGCAAGTCACATCAGAAAAATTGATGTGACTTGCCAGTAAATCTCAACCACACAATGTAACACTCTAGGAAACTTTAGGAAAAAATCACTCTAGAGGATCCTTGCTCTTACTCGACAGCACAGGACTAGGCCTTCATAGGAGCAAACCCGAGCTTTCACTTCTCACTGTAAATGTGGTCTTAAGTTCCACCCATGTTCCTGGGGATCCCACTTCAACCATGTTTTTGATACTTTTCTGAAGACTCAAATGATAGAAATATATGTGGACGAGGTTAGTTGAAGAAGTATGGAGAATAGAGAACTTGTTGCAAGTCGAAGTCGCCTCTTTCTGGGAGGGGAGGAAATGTCAACTCTGGATATGATCTCTGGAAGCTTTCAAGCAACTGGGTAAAGAGAATCAGAATATTATGTAGATATATAAGTAAATTAATTCAAAATTTTCAAGTCATTTGTATGTTGATGTTCAGATCCATGAAGCAATAATGGCTTTATATGAATAAGGAATTACAACAAAACTACATGTTTTTATTAGTTTTCTCAGGACAGAGAGAGAGAGAGAGAGAGAGAGAGAGAGAGAGAGAGAGAGAGAGAGAGATGCTTACATCTTCAAGTATTGATGTTTTATAAAGCTCCACAAACTTTTCCCTGATGATCCTATTCATCCTATCAACGTCACATGCATGCGTCCAGAAAGAGTCATGCACCCTTGCAACAGACAACAACATGAAATTAAATAGGAAACATAAGTTTCTCATTTTCTACAAATTCCCTTCCAGTCTTTCCCAAGGAAGAGCCTATAAAAGCAGGTCAGAGTTTCAAAATTGTTTGATTAAAAAATTATCTGAAAATAAATGTATGACCTGCATTTGAACATGCATTAAATAGAAGCATTTTAATATAATTATGAATTTCAAAACATACGGCACACTAGTGGGGACATATAAATGCATATTAGACTTTATTAAAGTTAAAGACAACACAAATGGATATTATATATTTGAATTCTTAATATGATCGTGTAATATTAGGAAATAAAATGATTTATTTTTTTTCATAACCGAGTGTCCGGATCAGTTTATGCGTACCTCGTCTAAATCTCAGGACCTTGAAATTAACGACCAGACAAACCTCTAGTGGCTCTAAGGTTTGAGATGTTTGGCCTTGTGGGTTTTGAACCTACAACCTTTTGGGTGGTAAGCGCTTTGGTTGCTTTCTTGCCCACTAAGCCAAACCCTTTAGGTTACAAAATGAAATTAATTTATTTCTGACATCCATTAAGAGACTTTAACTGTGGTTCAGAAGATAGAAGTGGATATGTGGATTTAGGCAATAAGTTGACTGAAGCCAATAAATCAGAGTATTTCACTTCAAATGTATGATTAAAATTTAATTATGACTTAATTGTAGTACAACACCACTCACCTAATTCACGTAACAACTTCTAAAGTTATCAAGAGATTCAGGAACTTCTCCCAGTGGTCAACTTGGAGATGTGTGCAAAAATAAAATAAAGACGGAAAAATAAAAAAGAGTAGACATTCCTATAATTGTGGATCCCACATAAAGCATAATTCTAGAGTCCAGACAAATGTTGAACAATTTAGACGACTTGTAATCTTCAACTTAATAGATTCAAAATGTAGAAACACACAAACAACCACAGAAAATACAGGTGGAACAATGTGAGTGAAACAATATCATTAATGGCGAACCCACCAGCTGATATGTATGGCCAGAATTATTTGATGTGAGTGAAACAATATCATTTTTTTTTCATTTTCATGTTAGAGCATGGTACCAACAGTACGAGCTTCCCTACAGGATTGGAGAAAACATATCACTTAACCAATAAATTGGCCTCAATTATGCTACATGGACTTGTGTATGCGTATTGGGTGGGGTATGTGTCCAAGCATTGGACCTTCTTTTCTTAATTTTAGATATATTAAAATATGTATCCAAACATTAGACGCGGGGCATGTAGGCAAGTTCCAAACATTTAAAAACATTGTTTATTGCATAATATCTGGATATAAGATGTTGTTATTTAGAAATTGTTGGTTTTTTGACTTTCGAAGATTATTATTGTAATTTTAAGCGTGCCGGTAAGGATTAATCAGTCCTTACAGAAGATTAATTGCCAACTAATTATCAGACGATTGTGTTTTAGTTCTTTCAGCCTTAATGAATAAGACTTTTACTGGTAGCTTTGTTTAGGAGAATTAAGCAAACAACGATTAAATGAAGAACAATTGTAACATTTCATTAAGTAAAAATGAAAGACTTACAATGATCCAATTCAACCTCGTAGAGGTTTACAGCAACAAATTATTTGAAACTACTCCTATGAACAAAGTGCAGTGCAGGAATTTGAAGTACAGAAATATAAAGAACAAGAAATTTAAAAACTGGAAGGAAAATAAAGTAGATAAAACTGATTTTTTAGATCTGAATCTGGGGGCTCTTTCTGGGGCCTTCTCTGCTATTTATACTTTTTAATGATAATCGTCGAAATGAGCTTCTAACCATCAAATCATCCCTCTATGATTGCTGATCATGTTTCCTCACAGTTAGCTCCACTATGTCATGTCTACAGTTAGGCTTCCCTCCTGATTTTGAATTTAAATATATGAGTAACTGTTAAAGCCATGTCAATTTGCATCTCTTTGCTGATCCAGTGCTATGCAGATCCACAATAACCAATACTAACTGTCACGTGTGTGATTACGATTGAATATTTGAATTGTCTTCCCGTATTGTCCTCATCCTGCCACGTGTTGAACTGTCATTAGCCTATACAAAATATGTAGCCAACATTACCCACGCACTAATATACCCAATACTTGGTCATATTAGTGGATCAAGGTATTTTATCCACGTCTTAGAACGTGCATGGGCTTTGCATTTTTTTAGAAATGAAACCCTTATTCATCAAAGAAACATTTGCATTAAATTTTCTTCTATCCTTTGAACATTCCCACTATCTCAGTATTCGAAAAGACTAGTACAGCTCTCATGGCCAAGCAAACCTTTTCTTACCTCGATCAAGCATATGAAGAGTCGTTTGATAATGTTGTTCGTCCTCAAAAGAACCTTCATGCATTGATTAGCCACCTTTACCCACCTTCCTATATTCAAGTCATGGAAGCTTTTGCAAACTATCAACTTTTGGATTACGAACCTATTGTCCACAATTCTTTAACCTAAAATTTTGCAAACATGGATATTGGAAGCTCTTCTTTTGACCCAAAACCTTTTGAGTAGGATAAGGCAGCAGCTTTTTCTTCTTCTTGGGCTTCTGGTTAGAGAAGTTGGCCAGAACCTAAGGAGTTCAAGTTAAGAGAGCGAATCAATCATCATTTTGTCGAATTTGTTGATCCTCTAACATTCCTTCCCTTTGCTCGAAGTTCGGTGATTTACCCATATGTACCCATCGACCGCCGATGCCGTTTGGAAAATAACTTACTTGTAGCATGGTACACATCTTTCATGCCTACGAAGACAGTACAAGCTACTCGTCATCCAGATGACACTCAAGGGTATAGCCCGTCATTCTTAGCCCAGAACACAAAACTTTGCTCTTCTGACTATCTTGATATCGTCAACAACCCCCAATTTCTTTCTTCTTTCGAGATGGAAGCTCATGCACCTCCTCTTCCACAAAATTCTCACTGGATGAAGGAATTGAGACTTACTCTCTTTGAGGACCAGTTTATCCCCTCCTATAACCCTCCTCCATCTCTCCCTACTAAATATCAGCGACAACAAGCCCAACTTCTACTTGTGGCATGATCTCACTTGTTTTTCAATGTTCCCGAGAATGATGTTCCTCTTAAGAACTTTCGATGGGCTTACGATGTTATGACCTAGGGTCATATCCTCAACCCTATCGCCCAAGCAGAGCTCCAGATGTTTTTAGACTAACTGCCACTGCTTCTTCATTGGCATCACATTTCTGTGGCCACCACTCGATCTTTGGATCAAATCTCAGCCCGTCGAATTCATACCCGGTATGAAGCAAAGAACCTCATTGATGAATATGATGATTACAAGAATAAAGACTCTGCATACTGGGATGACTTGGACATGGATGAAATAGACTAAGGGTTGAAAGAAACAAAGTTTGAAATAAAGGCCGAAAAGTTTTTTTTATCAAGTAAGGGCCTATCAACTTCAGCAGCCTAGCTTGGAGAAAATAGAAGATAGAATAAAAAAGGAATAGAAGTTCATTGACCATAGTTGGAACAAGTTCCATGACCTTGTCATTTACTCTATTCCTTATTTTTATGAACTTGAATATACAGCCAATGAAGGCTTCTAATGTAATTACCTTTGTCTTAATAAAGCTAAGATGTTTTCTCTTTACTTGGCATGGTCTGATTTTGCTCCATTTGTCACAATCAAACAAAATTAGGGCTTCGAATTCACCAATTTTGTCCTTCGACACTTGATTCAATCATACCCAATGGAATACTAGAAATCCAATTTTAACTTTTCCAACATATGGGGTGTAATTAACAACTTTTGCCTTAGGTCTCCTTTCAGTATCAGAGCTTCGAATTCACCAATTTTGCCATTCGAAACTTGATTTGATCATATCCAATTCCCCAACATATGGTTAATACAATGATGTAGTTTTAAATCAACTGATTTTCCTTCGAACAAACAGTCTATATTTTCCAAAATATGGAAGTCTTTTTCAAAAACTGCACTGTTTTATTCTAAAAAAGTGATTGTATACTACTAAACCAACTATGGGTTTGAAACCTAGAACAAACAAATTCTAACCATAAGGTATTTCAAATTTCACTTCGAAGGATTTTACTCTCATCACGAAACCTAAAAACAGGTCTTTAATCCTTTTGAAGTAAACAAACACCTAAACATTCCTGCACTCTTAGGTGTGGAATGTGCTTCGAAGTCAACTTCCTACTTTCGAAGCCGTTTGTCACTTGATTTTGGCACCAAAACTTCGCCTCGAAGCCAAATATTTTATTTCGAAGCTAACATTAGTATTTGAGATACGTTTCCCTCCATAACTATCAACATTGAGGGAAACTTTTCGCACTCATACCTTTAGTACTTCTTTATGAATTCCGCCCATATAAAACGATTGGGTGTTTTTCAAACAGAAAGGTTTAAAAACCCTTTTATTTTGTGCTCCCAATCCAATTGGTCATCTAACACACAAACCCTTCATCTTCTACTGGCTTTTTCTTTCCCTTTACTCTGTTTCCAACTTCGTATTCTCAGAAAACTCTCTATCAATGGCTTCTTCTTCCTTGAAAATACCGGTTGTGGAGCGCGCGAGTCCATCCATAGCCTTAAAAAAGATCATTAATGAGAAGTGTGCGAAGTACAAGGCTGGTGAGAAAAGTGCCAT